ACAACGAAAGTTATTTACCTTGTAAACAGTTTAGTGCTTACATTGCAAAATGTGGAAGAATGTTGGAATGAATTTTTTGACAGCCGGTTTTATTTAAGTTTTTTCAATGCAAAAATAATATCAGATGTATAAATTAATAATAGTAGTAGTGGTGATGATGATAATGATGATAATAATAATAATAACAATAATAACAATAACAACAATAGTAATAATAATAATAATGTGGATGATGGTAAAGATGATAATTATGGCGATGATGATGGTGATGATGATGATGATTATGGCGATGATGATGATGGTGATGATGATGGCGGGAGACGACGATGGTTATATTGACAAAAATTATGATGATTATGATGAGGCGAAATTCTACCTATATGCATGTATTTGCAAAACTTGTAAACATTTCCATTGTAACTTGTCGCTAAAATGATGTTCATTTTTTCTAATGTTATTCAATTATTTATAATTGTTCGTGTGTGCGTGTGTGCGTGCGTGCGTGTGTGGTGTGTTTGTGTCTGTGTGTGTGTGTGTGGCATTCCACATTAAGAGCTAGCTCATCTCTAATTAGTACATGCATTCATTTCTTCATTACTAAAGATAAATAATTCCATTTAGCTACCTATTCACATATAAACCTTGCTTACTGCGTCATAATAATAACAATAGTGAAAATAATAATTATTATTATTTATTATTGTTGTTGTTATTATGTTAGTATTATCGTTAAATATTAATAATATTTATAATAATAAGAAGAATATCTTGTTGTCTAAACAATTTTTCCGTAATCTAACCTCTCTTGACCTACATCATCATCATCATCATCATCATCATCATCGCTATTAATGCCATCGTCACTGTCGTCATAACTCTGTTGCAACGACGCTACTACTACCACCACCACCACCACCATCGTCATTATGAATAAATATTTATAAAGATATGAATATTAATTAACCAATGACGTCATCCCCAATTTCTCAGAGTGTTACGGTTCGAGCTCGGGTTTATCAGGACACGTTAACGTCACGATATTCAGGCTGCAGTACGATAAAAACTGCACTAAGATTGACGGAAATTTGGAGATCTCTGGGTTTTCCCCAAAACCGGAAGAAGACGATTTAGAGTTTTTGAGTACTATTGAAGAGATTACCGGTTGGTCGGTTGATTGGTTGGTTGGTTTGTTAGTTGATTGGTTGGTTTGTTGGTTGGTTAATTGGTTGGTTGGTCGGTCGGCTGGTTGTGATTGGTTGTTCATGGGGCTGTTTATTTGATTGGCTAACCAGTTGGTTGATCTATGATCAACTATTTAATTATTTTTCTATAAATTATATTATCACAATCACCATCATTACCATCGTAACCATCATCATCGTCATCATTATCATCATCGCAGGTTATTTGATACTGTTTGACACGAAGTTCAGCAAATTTCCATTACGAAACTTGAAGCTGATTAGAGGAGAGAGCACCTTTAACATGTGAAGATGACGATGACGACGATGATGATAATAATTATAATTATATTAATAATTATAATAATTTTAATTATAGTAACAGCGCCAGTAGTAGTAGTGGTGGTGGTGGTGGTGGTAGTAGTAGTAGTAGTAGTAGCAGCATTAGTATCAAAACAGCGGTTAGTAAGTTGCAGCGGAATTAGTATTAGTAGTAGTAGTAGTAGTAGTAGTAATAATAATAATAATAATAATAATCATTTTTATAACTATAATTAATATTATTACTATTATAATTATAATAATAATTATTATTATAATTATTATTATTAAGCGGACAAGACATGCATGTTAGTTTGTACATTGACAAAAACTCTCGTCTTGTTGATCTCGACCTGTCATCTCTTACTGGTCAGTCAGTCGTTTTTTCGTTCGTTCGTTCGTTCGTTCTTTCATACATTTATTTATTCGTCTTTTTTTCATTCATTCATTCGTTCGTTCATTCGTTCATTCGTTCGTTCGTTCGTTTGTCAGTTCATTCATTCATTCATTCGTTCGTTCGTTCGTTCGTTCGTTCATTTGTTTGTTATTTCGTTCGCACATTTGTTTCTTCATTCAGGCGTTCAATGATTGATCCATTCATTCATTAACAACCAAACCTACAAACAACCAATTAAAACAATAATCAGCCCAGTCAATAAGTCAAAAGCAATTTATCTATCCAACCAGTCAATCAATCAATCAATCAATCAATCAATCAATCAATCAATCAATCAATCAATCAATCAATCAATCAATCAATCAATCAATCAATCAATCAATCAATCAATCAATCAACAAATCAACCAGTTAATCATTCATTCAATCGATCAATCAATCAATCGATCAATCAATCGATCAATCAATCAAACAATCAATCAAACAAACAAACAAACCAATCAGAAATTCAGAATGGAAGCGTGTACATAGACATGAACGAGATGCTGAAATACGCCGACACCATACTATGGAAGGATATTATTAATGACGAAAAACATTTCAAGAACAGCTTTATAAAAAATTCTATCGTTCCATGTTTGTATTTTTTTTGCTGTTGGTGTATTGTTTTTCTTTTACAAATACATACATGCACACATACATGCACTCTTACATACATACATACATACATGCATACGTACAAATACATACGTTCATTCACACATACACACACATTCATGCATACACATGTGAATACTATCATGCATAGCCACACACACACACACGTACATATATATTTATATATACACATACGTATATGCATACACACAAACAAACATACACATTCACACATGCATACTCACACACAAACAAACAAACATACACACACACACACAAACAAACAGCTGGTGAGTGTTCATCAGAATGTCAACCATTTGAAGGAAAGAAATATTGCTGGGGACCTGAAGCGCGCCAATGTCAAAATTGTTAGTAGTAGTAGTAGTAATAGTAGTAGTAGTAGTAGTAGTAGTAGTAGTGTAGTAGTAGTAGTAGCAGCAGCAGTAGTAGAAGAAGGAGTAGTAAAAGTAATAGTGATATAGTAGTAGTGGTAGTAGTAGCAGCTGCAGTAGTAGTAGTTGTAGTAGAACTTCTTATAGCAGTAGTATTAGTTTTAGTGGTTAGTTTAACTGCTAAATAATAGTAGCAATAGTACACAGTTTTTAGTAGAAATTGTAGTTGTAGCAGCAGTTTTAGTAGCAGCAGTTGAAGTACCAGCAGTTGTAGTAGCAGCAGTTGTAGTAGCGGCTGTAGTAACTGTAGTAATAGCGTTAGTAGTTTTAAATGATGTCGATGTTGATTGTTGACGAGCAAAGATGTATTGTATTGTAAATACATGTATATATCTGGTATATAAGGCATGGTATACATATATCTTGCATGGATGTATGTGCATTTTTTGTATATACGTACTGTATACATTTTGTATGCTTTGTATATTTGTTGTATATGTATTGCATTTTTGTTGGATTCTATATTGTTGTTTGTATTATAGATATCGCATTTCAGTTACCTGATACCCTTTTTTAATTTTTATGAAAGTGATACAATTTTTTAATTTTTATGAAGGTAGCTAAATCATAAAGGAAAAAATCACACACCCACACGCGCACACACACACACACACACTCACACACACACACATATATACACACAAGCCTAACTAATTATATGTTAGAATGATCGTGTGAATGAAAAAATGAATGAATAAATGAACGAACGAATGAATGAATGAATGAATGAATGAACGAACGAACGAACGAATGAATGAATGAATGAGTAATCTGAAAGAATCAATAAGTGTAGAATATGGCTATGACTGAATGAACGAACGAATAATTGAATGAACGAATGCATGGATAATATATATTTTTATAATGCCATTAAAAAATAATTCTTATTTTTACGTTTTATCTATTAAATAAATAAAAGAAATTCTCGTAAGTGTGTGAGAATATGTTTGTTTGTATGTATGTATGTATGTATGTATATATATATATATATATATATATATATATATAAATTTATATATATTTATATTTATATATGTATGTTTGTTGTCCTGGTTATGACATTAAACTAACCCTCACTGCCTTGTGAGTAATGTTGGATCATCAAAGGCTAGGCCCACCGCTTATAACTGTGGTTGCGTAAGGAAGGGCGTCCTGCGTAAAAATTAGCCAAATAAATTACTTATGATGGAATGGCGTCGAGGGGTATTTCGGTTTCATCATAGGTAGCCAAACGGCAACCCCCGATCTCGGAGAAAATGTCGTCTAAACGTGTGTTGTTGTTGTGTTGTACATATGTATGTTTGTGTGAATGTATGTGAATAAATACAAATATATATATATATATACCCATATATATATGTGTGTGTGTGTTTGTGTGTGTGTGTGGTGTGTTAAACACAGCAGAACTTAGCGTTCTGCCGTGTTTAAAATTAAAATATTTGCTAAGCAAACATTAACATTCTGTTATTAATAATAATAATAATAGCAGTAACGACAATTTATAATAATAACATGATGAAAACTTACCGGTACTACTCTATTATAACCGTTTTACTTCAATGATATGTTATGCCTTTCGGTTTTTGTTCACATTCAATTATGAAATATTATAATTATTATTGTTAGTTATAAATAATTTTAATAAATCATAAATCACACACATACACGTGCACATGCAGTCACTAGAGTTATATGTAGCGATGTCTGTGCGGACAGATGTTTTGGACCAGGCCCGGATAAATGTTGCTCTAAAGCGTGCGCTGGGGGATGCACTGGCCTCAAAGATACTGAATGTTTTGTGAGTTGATTAATTGTTGATTGTTTGGTTGGCTGATTGATTGATCGTCTTGTTGGTCTGTTGGCTGGTTGGTATTATTCGATTGATTGTTTGAACAAAATTACGTTTGTAATTTTGTAAATCCAAATTTGCACATCCCTTTTTCCTAACCAATTCAAAATTCTCACGTAATATCTAATTTTTAATCAGTGCGCCGACTCCTATTTTCTAACCCAGGCATGCGCTCGATTCGATAACGAAGGTAAATGTGTGGATAACTGCCCACCGCCGGAAGAATACGATCCGGTTCAATACATCCACAAGCCCAATCCTTTTGGGAAATATTCTTACGGCCATGTTTGTCTTGCCCGGTGTCCTGGTTGGTTGGTTGGTTGGTTGGTTGATTGGTTGGTTCGATGGTTCTCTGGCTGACTGGTTAATTGGTTCTTAATTAAAAAAGTTAACTAAGTCAATAAAAATCTATTTCAATTGCTCAAATCCAATTAACTAACGGCAACCAACCAACCACATAACCAATCAAATCCCCGACAACAACCAACCAACCAACCAACTAACCAACCAACCATTCAGCTTCTATGTACGAGTTGATGGGGGCCTGTGTGAAACGGTGCCAACCGGGCACCACCCCAAAGACTGTAAATGGTAGAAATAAGTGTTTGCCCTGCGATGGCCCATGCCCCAAAGGTAGAAATAATAATAATAATAATAATTATTATTATTTATTATTATTTTTTTATTGCGTTTCAGCCTGCCAACCTCCATCAATTTTAGATAGCGATAACATTGACAATCTTAAAGATTGCACTATAATCGAGGGTCCCATTATATTACACCAATCAATGGCTGTCGGGTGAGTTATGATGGTGGTAGTTATGGTGGTGATGATGATGATAATTGGCATTGATGGCCTAGTGTCCAGGTTCGAATGTGAAGAGGTCAGGGTTAACCCTGTCACGTGCAAAAGTCTGTGATGCCTTCATTCACGTGCATTTTTCAATGCGTACAACACTGTGTGTTTGTTGCTATCATCATCTCATAGACCGTCTCGTTAACGTCATCAAAATCAACTGCATCAACATCAACCACCTCATCATCAACAACAACTACATCATCATCAACAACAACAACTAAAACATCATCATCGTCATCAACAACAACTAAAACATCTACATCATCATCGTCATCAACAACAACTAAAACAACTACATCATCATCATCATCATCAACTACAATAACAACAACAACTACATCATCATCAACTACAACAACAACAGCTACATCATCATCATCAATTACAACAACAACTAAAACAACTACATCATCATCATCATCAACTACAATAATAACAACAACTACATCATCATCATCAACTACAACAACAACGTCAACATCATCATCATCAACTACAACAACAACGTCAACATCAACATCATCATCATCATCTTCAGCGATCAATGGACAAAACCACTGACGGCTGACCAGTGGAAAATATTTGAGACCGTAACAACGATCGAGGATTTCCTGTATGTCGATATTCGCGCGGCTAACTTCACCGATCTCTCCTTCCTCAAGAACCTGAAACTTATTAATGGGAAAAAGTAGCTAAAGGATGGTGGTGATGAAGAAGATGATGGTGATGATGAAGATGAGGATGACGATGATGGTGATGATGATGAGGAGGAGGAGGAGGAGGAGGAAGATGATGGTTGTGGTGATGATGACGTTGATGATGAAGAAGATGATGGTGATGATGAAGATGATATTTCTCATTCATTTATTCATTCATTCATCTTTTCATTCGATCGTCTGCTCATGCTATGTTACATCTCTCTTTCTCTTCATCTTTTTCTCTCTCTCTTTTTTTCTCTCTCTCTCTTTCTATATATATATATATATATATATATATATTGAAATAATTTTTTCAAATCCCCTATAATTTTAAGAACGAAGAAAGATTGTTCATTGTTCATCTATAACTCGCTGTTGGAGTCCATAGGCTTGACCTCTCTTGAGGGAATATATGGCGGCAAACTCTGCGTTATCTCCAATGAAAACCTATGCTATATGACTCAAGAGCCAGAGGATTGGAATTTTTTAATGGCCGATGGTGACAAGGTTCGCTTCGACGGAAACAAGCTTCCTGAATTATGTGGTTGGTTGGTTTGTTTGTTCGTTCGTTTGTTTGTTTGTTTGTTTGTTCGTTTGTTTGTTTGTTTGTTTGTTTGTTTGTTTGTTTCAGGTGTTTTATCATCGATAAATTTATCAATTGTTTCATCAGTATTGTAATTAACACCATCGTTATCGTCGGTTTCATTCATCTTCGTCGTTCCCATGTTAATCAACATCATCACCGTTATTTTCGTCGTCCTCGTCACTATTGTCATTCCAAACTCTCTCACTCCTTCACTCATTCATTTATTCGTTTGTTCATTCAATCATTCATTCACTCGGTCATTCACTCATTCCTTCATTCGCTCATTCATTCTGGAATTCAGTTAAAGATAATGAGACATGCTCGGACAAGTGCTTGAGTAAGTATGCCTGCTTCGGAGCCAGCGATGAAGACTGCCCAGCCTGCAAACAACTCAAAGAAGGTCTTCTGTTTCTTTTCTTCTGATAGCAACGTCATCATCATCATTATCATCATCATCATCACCACCACTATAATCATCATCATCACCAACACCTCCAGGCCGCAAATGCGTAGACGGGTGTTCACCCGGTTGGTTCGAGCAGCAAAGGGCAGAAATGACGTCAGTTGGCCAGCCAATCAGAGAGTGCGCCAAGTGTCATGCGCAGTGCAAAGATTCCTGTAACGGAACTGTAAGTTCGTTTAGATCTTTGTGCGTGTATTTGTCTGTCTGTCTGTCTGTTTGGATGGTTGTTTGTCTGTTTGTTTGTATGTTTGTTTTTGAGTCTGTTTATTTTTCTGTTTGTTTTTGTTTGTAGAGTTGTTTAGTTGTTTGTTCATCTGTTTGTTCATCTGTTTGTTTGTTTGTGTGGGTGTGTGTGCGTTGTTTGTTTGTTTATTGGTTTGGAGTATGAGGGGTTCTTTTTTTGCAGTTTATTATTATTATTATTATTATTATTATTATTATTATTATCATCATTATTATTATTATCATCATTCACCTCTCCAGGGAGCCAACCATTGTTTCTCGTGCCTCAACTACAAAGACGGACCTTACTGTGTCGAGAAGTGTCCAGAAAGGTACTGATGATGATCCTGATGATGATCCTGATGATGATCCTGATGATGATGTTGGTAATGGTAATGATTAGTGGAATGTTAGTTAGGATAATATGTTTTTGACGGTGGTGATGTTGATGATGTTTTTTTGTTTTTGATGATTGTGGTTGTTATGATGTGTGCGTGCGTATGTGTGTGCGTGCGTGCGCGTGTGTGTGTGCGTGTGGTGTGTGTGTGTGTGGTGAATGTGTGTGTGGTGTGTGTGTGTGTGGTGTGTGTGTGTATAAAATGATCGTTAATTCAGCCAATAATTAGCCAAATAGTTAATTCAAATTTAGTCATTTGATGAACTTACTCGCTAACTTTCAAACGATTTTATTTATCAAATTTTTCATTCTATTATTGATTTATATGTGTTTTTTACATACATTCTTTTGTTCATTTTTTCATTCGTTTCTTCTTTCGTTTAGGCAATTTTTAGTTCATTCATTCATCCATTCGCTATTTCATCCATTCATTTCATCAGTTCATCAGTTCGTCTATTAATTAATTCATTCTTTCTTTTATTACTTCATTAATTATTCATTCATTCGTTCATTCATTCATTCATTCATTCATTCATTCATTCACTCACTCATTCATTCATTCATTCATTCACTCATTCATTCATCCATTCATTCACTCATTTATTCATTCATTCATTCATTCATTCATTCATTCATTCATTCATTCATTCATAGCTCACTCAAATATCATTTACAACGCAATAAATCAGTTTAATGTATATACACTTTCCTCTCAATTAGACCATAATATTTATTCATCCTCTTAATCCTTCTATCCGTCCGTCTATCTCTGCTGAATAATTTTTAATGATTTCATTATCTTTTTCTTTTTAATTTGTTATTTATTGCATCGTTTGTTCTTTTTTATCTTTGAATCTACTCATTTGTTCATCCGTATTTTTTTTCATTCATTCATTCACTCGTTCGTTCATTCATTCATTCACTTATTCATTCATTAATTTATTCATTTTCCATTTGTTATTTAATTGTTCATCCATTCATCAATTCATCTGTCTATCTTTTTTTCTTTTCTTCATTATCTATTCGTTCAATCTGTTGATATTTGCCTATTCTTTAAATCCTAGTTATTTTTCTTATCTTATTTAATTAATTTCTTTCAATCCATTTATCCAGCCATTTATCATTCATTCATTCATCCGTCCGGTTCATTCATCCATTCATTCATTTATTCATTCATTCATCCATTCATTCATTCATTCATCCATGAATTCATTCATCTATCCATTCATCCTCTATCTATCAATTGTTTTAATCGTCCGATCGTTTATTTGATCTATATCATGTTATGCATGGCAGCAACAACAACAACGACATTATCACATGAACAACATCACAACAAAATCAACAACATCACAACGACGACGACAACATTATTACATCAACAGCATCACAACATCAACAACAACAACATCAGCATCACAACAACATCACAACAACATCAACATCACAACAACATCAACATCACAACAACAATAACAACAACAATAGAAGTGACACTTGTCATCGCGTAAGCAAAGATACCACCAATGAAGATACTACTAATTCCAAAGATGATACAGATGATAACATCATTGAAATAAATAAATTATCAGCAGTTCTGAGTGTTTCAACAACGACCATTCAAAAACCCTGTAATAATAAAAATAATAATAATAAAAACAATAATAATAATAATAATAATAATAATTGTAAAAATAAGAAGAGGAGTGCTGACCGTTTGATAGGTGATGTTAGATAGCTGCCATTCATATTATTGCATTATAATATCAACATAACATTATGGTATCATAGTATATCATCATTATGGTATCATTGTGTATCATCATTATGGTATCATCGTGTATCATCATCATTATGGTATCATAGTATATCATCATTATGGTATCATTGTGTATCATCATTATGGTATCATCGTGTATCATCATCATTATGGTATCATAGTATATCATCATTATGGTATCATTGTGTATCATCATTATGGTATCATCGTGTATCATCATCATTATGGTATCATCGTGTATCATCATCATTATGGTATCATCGTGTATCATCATCATTATGGTATCATCGTGTATCATCATCATTATGGTATCATCGTGTATCATCATTATGGTATCATCGTGTATCATCATCATTATGGTATCATAATTTTATGGCGTAGTCCTAATTTTTACAGCTATAATAATAATAATTAATATCAATATCAATATAATCTTGCAGACGGCGTAATTGATGATGGTGGTGAGGAGGATATGAGACGTACTAATGATAATGCTGATGGTGATAATAATGGTGACATTAATGATGTAGGAGATAAGACAAACAACCCCGACAGCACTTTCGTCTCTAACAACGACCACAACTACGACAACAACAACAGCAGCAGTGGCAGCAATCGTAACAACGACAACTACAGCAACTTCAATAACAAAAGCGTTTCGTCTAAAAACAAACGCCAAGCGCTGGCAGTTGCTGCAGGTAAAATAATTAGTGATATTCCAGTTGGTGGGGATGAGACTGTAGGATCGGTTATTGGTAATGAAATCATAAAGGGTGTGGCAGCTATATCATTTTTTATTTCAGATTTTATTTCATTTCTTAGTAAGAGAAACTACTTTGATGAGTTAAGTTTTGAAGTCGATCGTGCTGACAATTCCCATGCTGATAGCGATGAGAACATTGAGAAGGCTGCTGGTGCTGCTGCTGCTGTCGTCGTCGATGCTACGACTTCATCGGCGTCGTCGTCTTTAGCTGCATCTGTCAGTGGTTGTGACGTTAACAACCACAGAAATGTTAATGGTTGTAGGGTAGATGAAGGAGTTATGAGAATGAAAAGAAAGAAGAGGATCTCACAGTCTAACATAAACAGCGACCAGGTTCCATCGAGGAACGCTGAAGCAGCCAGCGACAACGACGTCAACAACAACAACATCAACAATCATCTCATCAACAACAATCATATTGATGAGTCTAATATATCTAAAAGGCATATGAAAAGATCTGTGGATCGCAAGAAACATCGTCTGGCTAGCAAAAGCAACGCTAATGTTGATTCCAAAAGTGATGGAAAGGTTAGAAATAACAGCGAAAGCCTATGGGGCAAAGTAGGGGAAAAAATAAACCAATTTGGTACGTACCTCTCCGATAAGTTTGACGCATTAAAGACTTTTGTTTTCGGTAATGGGGATAAGAAAAGCGACGGCGATAGTACACTCACTGAAACTCATGACGGTGATGAAAGAAATAAAAATGACAACAGAAATGGTGAAGAGGATGAAGGGAATGAAGAAGTTGAAGTGGCCAATGAAAGACCTGTCGATAGTAGTGATCGTCGTCGTGCTATTAATAATAGCAGAGCCAAACATGAGTTTAAGCGTCTACTTAATTTTTTAGGGACGCATAGTAACAACAAAAACAACAACAACAAAAATAACAAAAGACTATGAAGGGTCTGGCCGGCAAAGTTTTTAACGCAGCTGGCAACGTTGTCAAAAGTTTACTGGACAAACATTCAATAATAAAATAAATAGTGACAACAACCCCAACAACAACAACAATAATAATAATAATAACAATAATAATAATGATAATAACAATCCCAATGATTACAATAATCGCAATACTGACATTAATAATAATAATAATAATAATAATGATAATAATAATAATCAAAATGGTGATAGCAATAATTACGACCATGTCAATAGTGAGTGAAACACGGCAGAGAGAGTGAGGGTAATAATAATAATAATAATAATAATTAGTAAATGGTATTAATAATAAATAATATTTATTATTAATAATATTAATATTATTATTAAAAATTATAAAATATTTATTCAATGAACACAATATGGTGAATTTTAAAAGAATGACTGACGTCTGTAGTTGTATCAATATAAAAAATAATATTTATGATGGTATGGGAATCATTATCATTATACTATTATCATCATCATCATTATCATAACCACATATATATTTTATATATATATATATGGGTGTGCGTGTGTGTTGTGTGTGTTGTGTGTTATAAGTTATTAAGTCATTATATATATGTTAAAAACTGTTATAGATAATCTTTATTATTAATAAAGGGTGATGGTAATATTAATAATAATAATTAATAAGTAATAAATAATACTAAGAGTAATAATAATAATAATAAAAGTATTATTGTTATTATTATTATTATTGATAAGATTACCTTATTTTATTCGCGGATATTTTTTTGCGTTCAAATAAATCTATATTGGCTCGGTTTTTCATTGAGACAATAATATAATTTACAATAATTATTATTTATACACTAACAACAATAATAATAACAACAATAATAACAACAACAATAATAATAATAATAACAATAATAATGATTATGATGATGATGATGATTATGATGACACTTATAAACATCTTCTATATAGGTGGATGAAACTAAGAAATAATATTAATCATCGTCGTTTGCTTGCACGGGTTGGACGGTGTCTTGTGCATCTTCCCTTCCCACTTCATCCTTCTCATGTCATCTGCTGCACACTCCTTCCAAGTTTTTCCTCCTCTTTCTCTACCATCTTCCCTATCCCACACATTTACCATATTTAACCTTTATCGAAGCTCTTCATTCGATTTCTTGCGCCTCAGTCTTACGCCACACATCCACCTAATCATCATTTTTTTCTGCCCTTTCCATACGCTGCATACCTCCCACTTTCATAGGCCATGTCTCACTGCCATGCGTCATCACACGTTGTACTTACGTACTGTATATTTTTCCTTTTACCTTTAATGAAGCACCTCTTGCTGTCAGAATCGGGATTAGTTCTCGGAAATTAGCCCAAACACACGGCACTCTAGCTCCATCTCCAGATCCTATCATATCTCCCGGATAACAAAACTTTTCCACACATTCTACCTTCCTCTCACAATCTATTTCTATCTCTTTTCTTTCTTTCCTTTTGTTCCTCTTTATTAGCACATCTTTTACACCTGAAAGCAGCCACTTTTAGACATTGATTACTAAGAAAATTTGTTTGTAAGTCTATAATTAGGGTAATTACATTGTACTATTGTAACAACAGTAACCAAAATAAGCTGAGGTACTACTGCTATTACTAATGCTACTGCTGCTGCTACTACAGCTGATACTACTACAGCTCCTACTACTGCTACTAAGGTTGCGAACAAGGCCTCGCTGGCCGTATTTTGTCCACCGGTGGTATGAGCAGCCATGCTAATAGTATTAGAAGAAGTAGAAATATTAACATTACTACAAGCAGCAGTCGTCGTAGTTGTTGTAGTAGTAGTAACAGCAGCAGTCGTAGTAGTAGATGTTGTAGTAGTAGCAGCAGCAGTTGTAGTAGTGGTAGCAGCAGTATTATCACTGTTATCTGTTTTTCAATGGCATTGATTGGAATAAATAAATAAATCTGATGTTTTTGCTTGACGTTTTATTTTGTTTGGATTCATTTGCATTCATTCAATTTGTATTTAATTCCATGATTTTATTCTCTTCTACTTTTCATAGATCAATTGCAATCACATTATACCCGCAAGCATAATGTGATATAGAGAATCATTTATTCATTTCATTTATCTCATATTTTTCTTATTTGCCATTACAAAAAGTGTTTATATTTATGTGTGTTTGTGTGTGCGTGCATGCGTGCGTGTGTGTGTATACTTATGTATATGTAGGTGTATGTGTGTGTTTATATGTGTTTTTTGTCATTGCTCTTTACCTATACACTTCAATGGCATGCACATACACATAAATCTACACACACACACACACACGCGTACACAAACAAACAAACATTCTTCCCTAATCAGTAAATATCCGGATTCGACTGGGGCCTGTCAGCCGTGTCACGTGGACTGCAAGGATGGATGCAACGGATCGTCAAATTATTTAGACTCCAGCGGTTGCACTAACTGCCATCTTTACATGATGGATGATTCCGGATCTGTTAGGAGGTTCTGCATGCCCAAGGATTCCCTATGTCCTGAGGGGTTTTATAAGCATAAAGATTTGGTTTGTTTGTTTGTTTGTTTGCTTGTTTGTTTGTTTGCTTGCTTGTTTGTTTGTCTGTTTGATTGTCTGTTTGTTTGTATGTTTATTGCCGTTGTAGATGTTGTGTGTTTGTATGTTTTTCGGTTGTAACTGCCCTTCTTGTTATTTCTTACATTTATGATTAATTGCAGCATTGAACACAAACAAACACACACATACAAATACATACACATACACATCCACACATACACAAACATCATACACACATCTGTACACAAACATTACACACACACATCCACACACAAACATCACATACATCACACACAGACACACACACACACTCACACATACACACACACGTAGGAATGTCACCGATGTCACTCGGAATGTAGGGAATGCTACGGTCCAGGGGCCAGCAACTGCAAACTTGAGACCTGTCTCAACTTCATCTACGATAATCGCTGTGTGACAAAGTGCCCAGCCACGTTCTACGTCGACTCTGAAAAAACGTTTGTATTTTTTTATTCGGTTTTTTGCATATTTGGGTGTTTTGCATTTTTATGTTTTTTGCATATTTGAGTATATTTTTGTACTGTAAATTTCTAACCTGTCTCAACTTCATCTACGATAATTTTTTTACGTTGATTTTTGTATTTTTTTATTAAATTCAGTATGTATATTTTTGTGTATTTTTCCGTATGTTTGTGTATTTTTGAATATTTCTGTATAATTTTGTATAATTGTATATACATATTTTTTTTCGACAACAACAGCTGCCGGGAATGTTACAGTGAATGCGCGAAATGTGATGGACCTCACTACTCCGACTGCACCTCATGCCTCGTCTACAAGGTCTACCACGATTACGCAGATGGAAAGCAGGACTCTAAGGTGAGGATGATGACGATGATGATGGTGACGATTATGGTGATGATGATGATGGTGACGATTATGGTGATGATGATGATGGTGGTGGTGATGGTGATGATGATGATGGTGGTGATGATGACGATGATGGTGGTGGTGATGATGACGATGATGATGATGACGACGATGATGATGGTGGTGATGATGACGATGATGATGGTGATGGTGTTAAAACGAGGTAGGCAAATTTTATCGTTTCTCTTTCGACCAATCAGTTTAACTGTACCTCTGACTGCCCGGACAACGCGCCCTATCAAATCCAAGAGTCCATAGAAAAGAAATCAAAGCAGACAATCTGCGTTACAGAAGAATTCGGTGCTGAGAGCTCTACACATTCAAGGTTGTTGTGACTGGAGTTCGTTTGTTTGTCTGATGTTTGTTCGTTCATTCGTTCGTTCGAATGCTCGTTTACCTGTTTGTTTGTGTGATGTTGACGTTGTTTGTGATGATGTCGTTGGCGTCATCATCTCATCACTGCATCATCAAATCACTACAACATCATCAGATCACTACAACATCATCAGATCACTACAACATCATCAGATCACTACAACATCATCAGATCACTACAACATCATCAGATCACTACAACATCATCAGATCACTACAACATCATCAGATCACTACAACATCATCAGATCACTACAACATCATCACATCACTACAACATCATCACATCACTACAACATCATCAGATCACTACAACATCATCAGATCACTACAACATCATCACATCACTACAACATCATCACATCACTACAACATCATCACATCACTACAACATCATCACATCACTACAACATCATCACATCACCCACCGCACCTCCCTGACCCTATCAGGCGATCAAGCACCGGCCTAATAGTCGGTCTAATCTTCGGATTCCTCATCCTGCTTGGTCTCATCGTGGCCGCCATTTTCCTCCTGAAGAGGCAGACGGCCTCGAAAAATTTGGCGAAGAAGAGAATCGAAGCTCAGATGGGCGGATTCGAGGAATTAGAGGTAAGTTATTATTATTATTATTATTGTATTATTATTATTGTTATTATCACCGTTATTTCTACCATCGTTATCACCATTTCCCACCCCACCACCACCACTTCCAACCAACCACAGCCTCTAGTGATAACGGGAGCTGCCCCGGACAAATCGTCACTGAAGATCATCAACGAGTCGGAGCTGCGGAAGGACGCGGAAATCGGATCCGGAGCGTTCGGGACGGTCTACAAAGGTGTGTGGGTCCCTAGCAACGAGAATGTCCGCATTCCCGTCGCTATAAAGGTCCTGAAGGAAGGGACTACCTCGGTCCAGAATAACGAGTTTCTCGATGAGGCTAGAATCATGGCGTCCGTCAACCATCCGTGTTGCGTCAGGCTGTCGGCCGTTTGCCTGACCAATCAGGTGCAACTAATTACCCCGCTCATGCCTTTTGGTTCGCTGTTGGAATATCTGAGGAAGAATAAGTCGCAGATTGGATCTAAGGTGCTGCTTAACTGGGCTACTCAGATTGCTAGGGTTGGTTCTCGGCTGACTGGCTGGCTGGATGTTGGTGGAAAGTGTTCGTTTATTGGCTTGTTGTTTGATGTGGCGTTCGTTCATTGGTTGGCCGTTGATGGAAAGTTTTAATTTATTGTTTGGTTGATGTGAAATGTTCATTTTTGGTTGGCTGAATAAATGAATAGATTATGTTAATTAGCAGTGCATTTAGATCAATTTTGATAATTAACAGGGTATGAAATATTTGGAGGAGAGAGGAATTGTACACAGAGATCTTGCCGCAAGGAATGTTCTAGGTGAGAATGATGGTGATAATGATGATGTATGTAATGAAGACGATGTCGATGATGACGATGATGATATTTTGGTTTCCAACAAGTTTCATAATCATTAATATTATTCGTCCTATAGCTTCTATTAGTCATTAAAACCATTATCATCATCATTACGTCACCACCATCGTCATTGTTATTAATTATGACGTCATCATTGCGTCACCATCATTATGACGGTCATCAGTTAAGAACGCCAACTCAGTAAAGATCACTGACTTTGGCCTCTCGAAGCTTCTGGACGCCAATCAAGAAAGTGTCAAAGCCGTTGATGAGAAGGTAATGATGAGATAATGATGGCGATAATGATGAGGATAATGATGATGGTGGCGGTTATGATGATAAAGTTGATGACGGTTAAAATGTGATGACAGTTAAAATAGTAATAAAATAAAGCAGGTTATCTTATAACGTGTTATTTAGTTTATTTTTGTTGGAATATTATAACTTATTAATCCACGTTACCTGAAAAATAATAATAATAACTAATGATAATAATAATAATTATTATGTTATTATTATTTTTAATTATAGTTAATAATAATTCTATCAGCTGCCCATAAAATGGATGGCCATTGAATCCATAAGGTTGCGCATTTTCACACATAAGAGTGACGTCTGGAGTTATGGTAAGCTTGCGATATTTATTATTGTTATAATTAAAATAATATTTATAATAAATGATAATATGGTTATAATTAAAATAATTTTTATAATAAATGATATTATTGTTATAATTTTAACTTTTATCTTTTCTTGTTCTTAATCTAATCATTCATTTTTATTTATGGTAATTTTTATTTGCAAATTAGCATAATTTATGTTATTTTTTGTTGCAAAATAAATAAGGCGTAACCCTCTGGGAGCTATTCACGTACGGGCAGAGACCTTATGAATATTTATCAGCTACAGATGTCCTTGAGATGTTGGAGAAAGGTGAAAGGTTATCTCAGCCCGAGATATGTACTATCGACATTTACATGCTGATGATTAGATGCTAGTATTTTTGGTGTTGTGTGATTGATTGGTTGGATGGCTAGTTGATTGGCTAGTTGGATGACTAGTTGATTGGTTGGTTGGTTGGTTGGTTGATTGGTTGGATGGCTGGTTGATTGATTGATTGATTGATTGATTGATTGATTGATTGATTGATTGATTGATTGATTGATTGATTGATTGATTGATTGATTGATTGATTGATTGATTGATTGATTGATTGATTGATTGATTGATTGATTGATTGATTGATTGATTGATTGATTGATTGATTGATTGATTGATTGGCTGGTAGGTTGACTGCTTGTTCAATAAATTGGTTTAAACATTTTATTGATTGGTTTATTGACTGAAACTTACTCTTTCTGTCCGTATGAAGACAAGATTCAATTCAAATCTCTTAAAGAAGCTACTACTACCTTCACTAAAAATAATTTAAAAAAAATAATAAAAAAAAATAATTTGAGTATTTATAATAATAATTATATGTAATTGTTATAATAAACGAACGCGCAGGTTGGTTACTGGACGCGGATAGCAGGCCATCCTTCCAGGAAATGGTTGAGGAATTTTCAAGGATGAGTCGGGATCCTGGAAGGTTCCTCGTTATAACTGTCAGTGGGAGGAGCCAAATTTATTATTACTATTTAAAAATATTATAATTATCAAGTGGATTCATAATTGAATGAATGGTTGATTGATTGGTTGGTTGGCTGGTTTATTATTACTATTTAAAAATATTATAATTATTAAGTGGATTCATAATTGAATGAATGGTTGATTGATTGGTTGATTGATTCATTTATTTATTTGTTCATTCATCACATAATCAATCAATCAATCAACTAATTGGCATCACGTTTAACAAAACTTTCCCAAAAAAAATCTCAAAAATTCATTTTTCCCCACCTAACGATTCAAAAGGGCGACGAGTTCATGAAACTTCTGGAGAACAATCCAGACGCCAGGGACCTCGTCTCAGATAAGGGTGCCGAAAAGTGGATGCTGGCAGACGAGTACTACGACCAAAAATCAATCGACGCCCTCAAAAACAAAACCCCCGAGGAGGACAACTATCTCAAGCCTAAAAAAGACGGCTTTGAACTTCCACCGAAGAAGGCCAAGAGTAACAAGTACGTTGACGTTAATGAGGGCAGTGGAAACAAATACACCGTTGACCCAACGGAGAGTCAAGGTCAGTTGGACGATGGGCAGTTGGATGTGCCGATCGATTCGGAGTACGTCTCTGGAGGGCCTCTGGTTTCTGAGCCAGCGGGGCTTGAGAAGAAACCCTTTTTTAAAGGTTGGTTTGAGTGACTTTGCTGTTGTTGTGGTTGTTGTTTGCATACATAATTAATACATAATCATTATAATACGTATTATGTATTTATTTTTTAGTAGGTAGGCTTATTGTACTTGAGTACATTTTAAAAGGGCCTACAACTCTGATGTTTGCAATGAAGTTGTTTACAGTGTAAATTTAAATATGGTTACAAGGGTTTTACAACTTTATTACAGTTGTAAAAATGTGTAATATTGCCAAATTATTTGGTGTTAAATGAAGTGATTATTTATAATATTATAGTTTTATTTATTTATTTTTTTGTTTGTTCATTTACTCATTCACTCTTCTTTTCATCCATCCATCTATCTATTCATACATTCATTCATTTCTTTATTTATCCATTCAATCATTCTTCCATGCATTCATTCAATCAATCAATCAACCAATCAATAAAAAAATTCAATATGCATATTATATGTATTTAGCATAAAGTAAGTTCTAAAATCATATTTCATTGAATGACTAAGTGTGTGGCATGACAAATATTTTGCTTGGTTATATTTATTATCGTTATATTTTTAATGTAACAATGTCATAATAATAACAATAATAATATTGATGTTGTTATGTTATTATTTTTATTATTTTTATTAATATTAATTATTATTATTATTTTATTATATTGTTACAAATGTTATTTTTATTCCTTTCAAAAGACTGCGCCTGTTATTTTTGTGTATTTTATAACAACGTTGTGTTACTTAATGTGTGTATGTGTGTGAGTGTGTGCATGTGAGTGTGTGCGAGTGTGTGTGTGTGTGTGTATAACTCTGTACATTTTCTATATACCGAAATGTGTTACTAGTTTCTTTCTCATACTAACTCTAAATAAAATACGATCAATATATTACCTTTAACATATAAATAAATTTTTTTAATGTAAAATGTTATTATTACAATAGAATATTTTATTATAACTGTAAAGGTTAAAAGGGTTAAAGGTTAAAAAGGTTAAAGGTTACCTCTCTTTTGCGCTTGTTTCAGAGGTTTCAACGACAAACGCACACAGCGTATGTAAATAGGCGTGCAAACCACACATCATACACATTGCACATGATAGGCGAGGATCTCTTTGCATTCGAACACAGTCATTGCAGCAGCAAGATCAGGCGCAGTGCGTGCGTGCGTGCGTGTGCGTGCGTAGAAAAGATTAAGCAGACGAAATAAATATTATTATAATATAATAATATATTTATGAAATAATTTTTACCTCGCCAGGGTCGCAGTCATCTCTATCAAATTTAGCCCGTATGGCGGTTGAGGGTCTAACTAGGTAACTGATTGAAAAATTATAATTAATTATAATTATGATATTAATGACACATAATAAACAGATTATATTTTGTGTCTTCTTCTTTTTCGTCCCTTATCCTTTCAGGACATTGGCGACTATCGACCTCCACAAAACCCGATCTTCAACATTTTGTGGTAGTTGAAACGTGGTGATATTCAACAAGTGACAGAAGAACTTCACGAATGTTATTCGTTGTTGACCGCGGTCTTTTTTCCCTGCAATCTTTCCAGTAGTTGTTAGATTTTCCATTCTTTCCTTCCGCATGATGTGACCAAAAAACTTCAACTTCCCCCGTCGGTTATCTGTAGTAATTTCCTCTTTTCATAACCTGACTGTTTTAATACATCCTCATTCGAGGTATGAGAAGTCTAACTAATTTTCATAATTCTTCTCAAAAACCGCTTCTCAGCAGCATTAATCTTTTTTCCATTTCTTTAGAAATTGTCCAGGACTCAGAGCCGTAAGTTAGCACCGGAAAAATGTAACATACTAACAGTTTTAACTTTGTTAATATTCCGATTTTACTGTTGGTGAGGATGTTTTCCATTTTAGAATATGCATCTCTCGCTATAGCTATCTTTCGTTTGATATCGACATCACATTTACAACCTGAGGTAATCAGGCTTCTGAGATAAATGAAACTGTTGACTTGTTTCACCAGTTTACCATTAATGATTATGGGGCAGATCGGGGTGGTTTTGCTTTTACTGATAACCATGCACCCTGTTTTGTTGATGTTAATTTGCAAGCCTTTCTTTTCACTTCAAAAATTAGTTTGGAAACAATTGCTTTCAGTTTTTCCATTGAATCTGCTACATTTCTATTTAAATTTTTTATGTACGTTAAATAAATAACTGAAATATACAACAAACAGGTCTTCTGAATACTTGAAAATGAGCACCAACAAAAAACCGAAAGAAGAGAAAAAGGCGATATTAGCTGAATTTGAGGACGATGCTATTGATGACGTCATTATACCTCCAATAACAACAACAACCACAACACCAAAGACATCAAAAACGACACCAAAGATAACAAAACAGACAGCATCGTCGTCCGTAGAAGATGATGATAGCGATGACTATCTGAGACACGTTGTATCCATTAAAACTCTTCACAATAATACAAATATTATTAATAATAATGGTAATAATAATAGTAGTAATAATAAAAATTATGGCCACAATTATTATAACGTTTGATGAGAAGATTTATGTAGAGGCTTTTTTATTGTTTTATCTTGCTTTTAACGATAACCAATAACTTAATTACAATTAATTAACCAATTATGATTGATTGGTTGATTAATTGATTGGTTGATTAATTGATTGGTTGATTAATTGATTGGTATATATATATATATACATACATACATATATATGTATACATATATATGTTATAATACATACATATGTATACATATTTTATGTAGATATATATATAATATATATATATAATTGTTTCAATGTTTATTATGCATGGAGTTACTATAAAAACCGTAATTTGGCAATCATGTTTTATCTTTGTGTATTTTAATGCTTAAATATAACATACACACACACACATATGTATATAATATAATGTATTTTATGTATGTATTTTTTTATGTAATATGTATTTCTTTTAAATGTATTTTGAATTCAAAGAACTACCGAAAGCTTATTTTGAGCGTTTTAGCTATTTACGTATGTGTTTCATATATATAAAGAAATGTATTCTTATATAAATATATATATTGTTATATGTATATATATAGATGGTAACGCATTTTTGAATAATTTTGCTTAGAACTTTTCTTTTTTAGATTTCATCCTTGAAATTTATTTAACTCTAATAAATATCTATTATTACTTTTTATATTATAATAAATGAAAGTCATTTAATTCGCTGTTTTATTGTGTATTCCTGTTTTAAAATTAACCCCTTCCTCTGCATACTGTGACTATTTGGTGTAATCAAGTAATCTAGATGTTAAACATTGCATAAAAGCTTTATGGTAGATATGGAAATTATGTCCTGTCTTTCAATAATTCATTCATTTAAACATTTAAACACTTCATTTAAACATTTATTCGTTCGTTCAATCATACGTTCATTCATTACCTCGTTTCTTAGATCACTTCTTAGTTCGTACACACATTCATTCATTCATTTGTTTATTCATTCATGCACTCATTTACCCATTTATACACTCACTCACTCTTTTAATCGTCAATTCACTTATTCATTCATTCACTCATTCATTTTCACTTTGCTTTTAAACATTATTACAAATTAATCAAACGCATCTAGAACTGCTAGAATAGCGATGCATTTAATTCAATGATAAAGTTTCATAAGCAAGGTATTAATTGAAGTTCTCAGTTAAGATTGGATTCGGACGTTGAACGTGGTTTGTGGTTCAAAATTTTTTTAGTTGAAACAATTTCTTGAATAAAATATCCAAAGGTTGAAGTAAAATTTTGAGAAATATTTAAAGAAATATTTCGAAAAACATGGTAATACGATTTATTTATGCACGAGTAACTTTTAACATGGTTTGTTGTTGACGTTGCTGATGTTGTTGTTGCTGCTGATGTTGTTGTTGTTGTTGCTGCTGATGTTGTTGCTGCTGATGTTGTTGTTGCTGCTGATGTTGTTGTTGCTGCTGATGTTGTTGTTGCCCTTCGCCTGGAAATTGTAACCAGCTTGCAATCTCCACAGAATTTTGTCATGGTCATTTTGTTTTAAGATTAGCTGGCTTGTAGCAAATTTTGAGCAGAAAGAAGGTCTGTGAGTCGATGAACGTTGATCATTTGGCATGCTGAGTGGATGTTTTATATGGGGAATGTATTGTGAATGAAATTTGAAAAAAAATTCTGATGTACAAGTTAAAGTACAGACTTAGGGGAGATTAAAGAAGCGCTCTGTAATTAAAAAAAAATTTACGTTCACTTTCGGTACTGGACATTTTTCGAAATTTACGAACGTTAAAGGAATTGAATTTAAAATTTAAACGTTGTTTAAGCTGAAGATCGGTAATATAAAATAAATAATTACTATAATTTTTTAAATTTTGATTCAATTTATAACACGTTTGACTGAATTTTGCAATAAAAATGTCTTGTCAAAAATTTCACAAGCACCATGGCAAAAATATAACATTGTTGGAGGATGAGACTGTTGCCTACAGACAGCTTAGTTTCGCGCACGGAATCACATTCAGTGCCAAAGTAAAGCTTCACTAATATTTAGTTAATGTTTTTCATTGATGTCGGTTTTTATATTTTAAATTAAATTAATCTGTCAAAATATTGCTTGTTTTTCTTTGAGTTATTTCTTAATTTTGCAGCCTTTGCATCCCAGGGAAATGTTCCTAATTGAAGTAGAAAAAAATGAACTAGGCTGGAGTGGTCATTTAAGGATTGGTCTAACTCAACTGGACCCCAATGATAATTTTGATTTGCCATTTTATGCTCTCCCAGATTTAGTACATGTCGATGTTAAAAAAGATAGTTGGATATTTGCAGTACCAGCAATGCATTGTCGATTCAGTGAAGCAAATCGTTACCAGCCAAGATCTCATGGTGATGGAAATGATTCCACGTCAAGCAACTACGCGTCGTCATCACCACAAACCCATCTAAATTCTGATTCCATCCTTGGAGATGGTGATTATATCCAGACGTATCAGGTTGTCATCAGTTGATTAATTCAATTTTTACTCTTTACAATCATTTTTATTTGAAAAAAATATATTAATTAATTGATTATCATAATTATAAATTATTAATTTTTTGAGGCATTAATTGATTTAAATTTACAAATTATTTTAAAAAACCCAGGGCTCTATATCCAGAAAAATCTTGAGAGCCCTCCCCTACCAAAAGAGTGTAAATTCTAGTAACCAGCAAGACCGACTTCTGGATGACAATGATGACCTCTTTCATGATTTTCAAGATGAAATTGATGCCTCAAACAACATCAGCAGCAGCCACAACAACAACAATCACCATTCAACCAACTCTCCAACAAACAACCAAAACACATCATGCGCATCTCTAAATAATAATAATAACTCTCCAGCAAATGTGATTCTTCCAACGGATGTCGGTAGTCGAATAGGCATAATGTACGTCGTAAAAGGAGACTTTGCGGAGATGCATTTTATCCTAAATGGTGAAGATTTAGGCGCTTGGGCCAAGGATATCCTATACAAAAAACATCCTCTATATGCCGTTGTCGATGTTTACGGTACGACTAAACAAGTCAAAGTCATCCAGCTCTGCTGTGGTCAGTTGATATTTTTTCTTCACTTTTCAAGTTTTTTAATTTAGTTTAATATTTAAACTTGATTATATTATTATTAATATTTTCATTATTTGTGTCAATATTGATGTAATTATACTTTTATATTATATATTTACTGGTAAAATTATTTCTACAGTTTCCTCTCTACAAAATGCATGTCGGAGAACGATCTTGGCCTGTATGAATACGGACGACGACGTTGATCTGCTACCTATTCCGAACACCATCAAAGATTACCTCAAATTTGCTGTCATGTAAAATGAGTGAATAGATGAATTAATGAATGGATGAATGAATGAGAGTGAATGAAAAGGCGAGTGAGTGATTGATTGATTGATTGAGTGAGTGAGTGAGTGAGTGAGTGAGTGAATGAAAAGGCGAGTGAGTGAGTTAGTAATGGGATTATGATGATTACTTTAGATTGCTCAAAGAGTTAGTGATGGAATGAATTGAAGAATTGAGATTAAATAAATAATCTTCCTTGAGGATGAGTGAGTGTGTGAGTGAATGAGTGAGTGAGTGAGAAATTGTAATGATAATGATGACGACGATGATGGTAATGATTTACCGCTTCCTATTCCAGACTCTTATTTAAAACTTGCTGTTGTTATGCAAATTGTAAGTAAATGGTTACGATGTAACTGATAATGAGGAGGAGGAGGATGATGATGGTCCTCCTATATATTTATTAAAATTGAAAAACAAAAATACATGCTAATAAATATATATGTATATATATGTGTGTGTGTGTTATGTGTATGTATGTTGGTGTGTACGTACACATTTCTCTGTGTGTGAATGTGTGTGTGTGTATTTTATATGAAAAAAAATTTCATATTTTTTAATATGGTAATACTTTTCTGTTGTGACTTACTAGGCTAATAAATTAATGCTTTCTGTTACTTAGTTGCTCATATAATTTGCAAACGTGTTTACGTACATACATACATAAATACATACATACATACATAAATACATACATACATACATACAAAAGTTAATTATATTGTCTAATTTGTTTTGATTTGCCAGCGATGTTAATACTTCGTTGAAGTATAGAAATGTTCATCATATTTTTATTCATTCATTCATTCACCCACTCACTAATTTAATCAGTCTTTCACTCCTCAATACTTCATTTTTTATCTGTTCATTCATTCGTTCGTTCGTTTATAATTACTTCAATTTCATTAGATGTGATATCACACACATACACACACACACAAATGTATATACAGGAATGCACACTCATTCACACAACAAACACAAACGTAAATACATAAATATATACATACTTACACACATACACACATTGCTAATTAGTTATCACTTGATACAGTTATTTATAAATATATATATAGTATCAAAATAATTTTTTAACTCGTTTTTCCTATAAATTTTATGTATATTCACTTGTTTGTGTGTGTATTTGGTGTGTATGTATAAGTGTGTGTATATTATATAGAATGTTTTTTGCTGTTCTGTATATCTAGGTGAATGAATGAATGAATGAATGAACGTTTTCTTGTAAAGAAATGCATTTATTTTCACTTTTATCATCATCTTTTTTTCATCTTTTATTTTTAATTAATCAGATGAGCTAATTAATTCAATCAAGTAATTAATTAAATCGATTTATTTATACAAATTATCTTTTTGAAGGAAATAATGCTTGCCTGATATGTTGTCCATCTATTTATTTTATTTATTAATTTTCATTTTTTTCGCAAATAAATCATTAATTAATTTATGAATTAATTCATTTATTTACATATTTTATTTTTATAGGGAATCTTGTTATGTCATAGACTCGCTTATAATTTTGTTACTAAAGAGAAAGTGGTATAACATCTCGGTAGTGATTAAATAATCTTGATCAATGATGATGATGATGTAGACGATAATGAGGAGGAGAAACATATTTATTTATTTTTAGTCGTTTGTCTCATTTCAATCAGTTGGTTTACCCACTACATTTCACTTTCAGGCACACACTCATTACGCCTCACTCGCCCACTAACTCCTGTTAATTATTTATTAATTTATTTAAATCTAAATTGAAAGTTACTTATCAAGTTAAGTAACTTCAAAGTCAGGATGCCACGGCCGTATCTTCTTTTTTTTCATATATTTTATTTGGTTTCAAAAAGATATGTAGATGAATGTATATTTATAAATAAATAAATGAACGAATGAATAAATGATTGATGGATTGATTGATTGATTAGCTAATTAATTTATTGATTGATAGATTAATTGGTAACTCAACTGAAATATGAAATGTAAGTAACAGTAATAATGCATATATATATATATATATATATATATATATATATATATATATATATATATATATAATCGTTAATGAATAGTAAAGTTACATCAAACATCAATGATTGGCTAAGGATTGATAAAATATTACGTTAACGAAATGAGCATGCAAGTACGATGAAGAGTATGCTAATACGTTAATTAGTATGCAAGTAAGCTAATTAATATGCAAATATGTTAATGAATCACCTCAAAATGTCTCTCACTTTTCCATTATTATGCTCCCGTGTTAAACAAGTAAATAGTAAAAAAGAATGCGTGTAAAGATATATATATATATATATATATATATATATATAAGTATGTATAAGTTTTTATGGATATATATATAAAAAGTATTTATGCATATAAATATAATGTGTTTTATATATACAAAGTATACGCATATATATATATATATATATATATATATATATATATATATATATATATATGCATATTTAACTCAAATTTATATGTGTACGTGCAACATATGTGTATGCATCTTACAGAACAAAAGGCACTTAACACAATATATATATATATCTGTATATATATATATATATATACAGATATATATATCTGTATATATATATATATATACATATATATATGTATACAGACATACATACGCATACATACATGCACACATACGTATGCAGACAAACATGAACATACAAAAACATACACACATACATGCACGCACATACACACTCACACAGATGAATATTTAATTATAAGCAAAGTTAAGCATCGACATTTTATATCGATAAATAGGCACTGTTTAAAAAGTTCACTATTAAATATATATTAACTTTATTATGGCCATTACAAATCTTAATTAATTTCATGATATAAGTTAATATGTAATAAAATACATGATTAAAAGTACATTTATATATACATATATGTATGTACGAGTGTGTACTTGCGAGGAGAGTCTGCAGGTGTATATGCCTAATTAATTAATTAATTAATTAATTAACTAATTATCATCATCATTCGTTATCAATACAACTATCATTATCATCATTGCAGACGACGACGCTTTCAACCACTGTGAGATGTCATCTATGATGAATAAATATCACTGCTTTAAATGTGTACAACTGTACACTGGATAAATTTTAAAAAGCACGAAAATTTTTGATGGCGCTTTTGAATTTTAACTAACTAGAGCTAGATAAATCTTTTGATAATAATAATAATATTAATAATATGTATATATATATATATATATATATATATATATATATATATATATATATATATATATAGTATATAGGGCAAGCTTAGTGACGCCAGATTCATATCTATATAATAAAATACTAAAAGGAAAGATATAATATTTCTTAAAAAGGTTTATTTATATTGTCGTATCTTTATTAATTAATTGCGTAAATGTGTGTGCGTGTGCGTGTGTGTGTGTGTGTGTAATATCATTAGTCTTTCTTTTCTAAATATCTATCTATTCACCCCTATCACATGTTCAAATAAGTTGTGACGCTGTTACTCATTACCATATCATCTGACTCATCCATCCCATCATCTTCTTCATCATCTTTATTATTGTTATTATTAATATTAGTAGTTGTAGTAGTAGTTGCAACATTGTTATTATTATTGTTATTATTTCTTCTATATACATTGTTATTATTATTGTTGTTCATTGCTGTGTCGGGAATCATTGAACCATTCATATAACTATTACCGTTAAGACTGTTATTATTATTAATATTATTATTGTTGTTGTTATTATTATTATTGTTGTTGATGTTACTTATAAAGCTAATGTTGTTAGCAGTAGTTGAAGTAGATGTAATGATATGGTTGAATGATTTGCTATTGTTGCTGTTAATGTTGTTGCTGATGATGGTACTGTTGTTGTTGTTGTTGATGACGTCATTATCAGTGTTGATGTTGTGGTTTTTGGAGTAGTCGTGATTCAGGCAGTTGGCATTATATGACGATGACGACGACGATGATGGTAATAACATTGGAGACATCATGAGTTGTTGTTGGAAATTTTGTGGTTTCAATAGATGTTGTTGTTGCGGATGAAAATTTTGTTGTTGTTGTTGTAAGAGGAGTTGCTGCTGTTGTTGTTGCTGCTGTAAAAATTGCTGTTGCTGTTGGAATTCCCAGGTGGATTGGAAATCCCCGAACGGAGCTGAAAATAGAACAGGGGCTTGTGGTGGCGGACCAATAGGAATGAAGTTACTTGGGGGTCCAGTAAAAGAACCTGAATAGTAAGGATGGGCCAAATAAGGAGTCATCATTTGGTTAGGTTGCTGTTGATGATGTTGTGGAAATTGAACATGCTGATTTGTTGTCCTTGTTAAATGTTGTAATTGGTTGGTAGAGAGGAGGTTTTGTTGAACCTTATTATCATCATTGTTGTTATTAATAATGGTACAATTGTTGTTGCTGTTACTATTATTGTTGATCTTATTTATAGAAAAACTGGTTTTTTCCATAAAGTCGTCATCACTGTTTTTTTGGTTGTTGTAAAAGCTACTATTAATGTTGTATTTGTTGCTGGTTGAATGGTGAGAAATATTGTTGATGTTGCTACTACTGCTATTTTGTTTTACGCTGTTATGATTGGGTGTTGTGTATATATTGTTGTTGTTGTTGTTGGCGGTGGTGTTGTTTATACTGTTGTTGTCGAGGCCATTGTTGTTGCTGCAACTGCTGCTGAAGTTGTTGTAGTCATTAGCAGTACGCACATCATTATCATCGTTGTTGTTGCCGTTGTTGCTGAAATAATTATTGTTGTTGTTCACAAATGCCGTGTTGTAATAGTAGTAGTAATTAGGTAAAGCAATATTTTGTTGATGTTGTTGTTGAAGTGGCGGTAGTCGTTGTAAGTTTTGTTGCTGTTGTAGTTGCTGCTGCTGCTTCAATTGTAGTTGTTGTTGGTATACAAGTTGGGGTTGTTGAATATACGAATGTTGTTGCAGCTGTTGTGATTGTTGCTGCTGGCGTGAATGTTGCTGGGTTCATCAACA